TAGTATTTGAAGATGATCGTTCAATATACTAAACAGGACTTATTTCCAAATATATTACAATTTTTCGTTTGTCATTATCTCTCGATTGTTTATTGATCCGTAGCTGAGTATGATAAACTATGCCGTTGTTGTTGACGAATTTCAACAGATGATTCCGGAACGGTGCACATCCTTAGGGAACAAAATGATATATTTAAATTCCATTCTGCTCCTCCAGTCAACTTCCAAATCAAATTGGTGAAGAAAGTAGGGTAGCTCTGTTACAGGTGGAAAATATTTAGTATGTCAGAGTATAATTGAAGCAGAATACACATTAATGTTGGGGTACTAAATGTATACTTGATCACTTATGATTAATTATTCATGTATGAAAAGTGGTTGTATTGGACGATACACAACTTCAGGTTGACTGAATTACGTCATGAAATAAACTTTACATTTTTATTTATATTTATATTTTTCATATACAGATGAAGCTCCGCATTATTTATCAGTCACTCTGAAAATATGCCTTTTTCTCTGTGTAAAGTATTTGTTTTAATAAAAAACATACACAGTAAGTACGTTTTAGCACTTCAGACAGTGCTACATGTAAGATAAACATTAAATTATTGAAGTAAAAAAGCATAAGTAGCAGAGGAAAGTTCTTTTGGATATTGTTGTGGACAATAGCCAGATCAGCGTGGACTAAATATCATTGTTCAAGCCTACTGTGGCTGGTTGTTTAACTGGGCACGTCTTCACAATACTCTTTTAAGCAACTCGAGCATATATCAAATAAGACATTGTGGTGAAACACCGTACTATGTTGACGATATGTTACTCTTGAGTTGTTACTAACTACATGAAATAAAAAGTTCATTGTTTTATTCGATGTTTTTTATTGGTGGATGGTTACAAGCTACTTGAGCTTTATCAGCTGAAGTGTTGTTTTGCAACATGAAATAACTACGATGTTTTACTCCGTAGTTTTTTTTCTGACGAACTGTATCAAGCTACTCCAGCGTTATAAGATAAAGTACTGTTTTACAACACAAAGATAACATTATTAAGGTTTTTACGACTGCCGTCATTTATAAGATTTATTAAACGAACAAATGATCTGCACATAACTTCTTACATTTAAGTTTTGCTTCAAGTAACGCTTTTCATGATAGGAAGAAATCGAAGGGAATAAAATATATAAATCCCAAGTCCGACAACATGATTCCGTTCGGAAGGTGAACACCTCTTTTCTTCAGGGATGAAATGAAACAGGAAGTATGAAGTGTTAAAATGAATCAAGTGATCTTCATTGCCGTTTTGATTTAGCGAAATCCCCTTTCTTCAGGGGTGAAATGGGAAAATGAAGTGGTTTTCAATGAGGTTATAAATATCGACGTTAACCTTGTTTGAAATTAATGAATAAAGGTTATAAAGATATTGTTAATTTGAGTAGCATTAAAATAATAATAATATGGAAAAAAATTAATAAATAGCAAAACAGTTCCTAAATAAAATAAATATAGACATTTTTCATCTGGAAATATGTATATGATTGGTGGTAGAAATACAATGATTCTGGAATGAAGATTACTGAGGTTGAAAAATAATGATTCTGGAATGAACGTAAGTGAATGTTGAAGAACAATAATTCCAGAAGGATGGTGATTGAATATGAAGAGTAATGATTCTAGAATGAAGGTGAATTCCACATGAACGAATAGCATGCAAAGCGAAGATTTAATACTTTATCTACTTAGTTCCAAATATTTAAATACCTAAAATAACCAAATCGTTCATCGAATGTTGATGCTCATTGAAATGATGGGCAAGATATTTTCTCATTCCAATTAATCTATAAAGTGTTGGACAACAGATATTTTTTTTATTTCATTTAATCTATAAAATGTTGGACACCAGATATTTTCTTGTTTCAAGTAACCTATGAAATGTAGAGCAACAAGATATTTTCTTGTTCCAAGTAATCTATAAAATGTTGGGCAACAAGATATTAGAGACATTTAGACACGCCTGCTGTTTCTTTGCCTTGTTGTAACATTATTCTTATTACCGCGTGATAAATAATTCGAGTTAGTTCTAGCGCTCTGTTCACTTATTAATAACAGACGTTATTAGTGATGGGATATTATGTCATATTTGTTAGAGCTTTGGCACTAGAGTTACAAAAGAAAAGAATAACGTAATATAAAATAGTCATGGAAAAGTACGTTCAAGGATTATTAATGAGTATGTGCTGATTTGTTTCATATTTATCATTTCTGTGGTCCTTTTTTGATTTTTTTTTTTTTTGCTCTATGCTATACCTTGCTTGCTGTCATAAATAGGCCTTAATTTTATGCTTAAAATCTAGAAGATTTGCCTCAACGACCCAGCTTATTGCACAGTGATACACAGATCATTTGGAGTTTGTGTCGAACCCGAACCCATTAGATTTCGAAGTAAACAAGCACATCAGGTATCTGCACTCTTCTTATCCGAGTTGAGGTTTCATGTCTTTATGAATTATCGATAGGTTCATGTTTAGAGAACCAGAAGCAGACCAAATGCTCAAAGCGTCATCTTTAAATATGGTTTTTACAGTGAGGATTTGTCTATGGTGTGGTGGAGGCGTCATTATCAATGGACGTATTGTGTTTCTAAAGGAATGCATTTACTTTTAACGATATATATTCATATCGGACCTAGTTGCACAACCTTTCATAAGTGCAATCCGACTAAACTTTTTACTGGTGCCGGATAATGCTCAATATCAAGATTGGGATGGTCAAGCGTGGGCAAGAACAGCAGACTCTTTTTCTGGTGCAGGATAATATTCAGTACCACAATTGGAATGGAGAAGCCTGAGCAAGACCATACTCTTTTTTTTTTTTTTTTTTGGTTGCAGGATAGTGTTTGGTACCAATATTTGGATGGTCAAGCGTGAGCAAGAGAGTAAGAACAGACTCTTTCCTCGTGCAACTTGATATTCGGTAACTATTCGGTAGCATGAATAAAAACTTTAAATAGCTTTATGTATCATGTGCTGACCAATAAGATGGCTTTATGTAAGATGAACTTACGAACAAGATGACTTTATCTAAATCACGTCGAATAATTCTGAAATCACCACTCGACTTCGGAGAGCTCGACGTTGTACTATCTGAAGAATAGACATTATTATTAATTAAATGATCATAAGTGTGTCCCACATATAAATAGACTGTTTCAATATCACGTGGGTTCATAGTTGTTATTAAGTACACCATTTTACCAACACTGGCCAAGGAACAAAGCATGATCCTCACATCGTCATCAGTCAACTATTTCCCACATATAAAGAAATTGTACTGACATCCTGGGAATTAGTACGTGTTACTGAATATATTTTTGATTAAATGTGAGTATTTTAGAACATTCAAATCCCTTAGTTCTATCCACTTGGAATAAGTAAGCTCTATAGGTTTTTATCAGCGACTTACTGTCAGTGAACTTGAGTCATTAACTTCTTTCGGTGAATATTTGGTGCTTCTAAAATATATTATAACTTCAGCTCTGTTGTATATTTGGTTGAAAAATATTCAACACCTGAATATTGTTTTTGTGTAGTATAAAAGGAGAGAGAGAGAGAGAGAGAAGAATTGCAAACTTTCGTGAACTGTTCAACAGAGAAGATTACCTACTTTCGAAAAAATCTTAATTTGAAGCTGGATTTTGTAATTTCTTTTTCGTATCTTTTGTTATCAGAATACTTACTGTAAAAAAGGTTATTTTGCTTGGTTAAAACCACAATTAGAGATAAATACTTTCTATAATCCTATATTTCTTGTTAACGTCGATACCACAATGGGAGATAAATACTTTCTATAATCCTATATCCCTTGTTAACGTAGA